GAGGCCCATTTTAACCTGATACCAAAAGGATGGCAACGTTGATGACAGGGGAGCCCCAGTAGGGAGATCATTCCATTTTGGGGGGCCACCACTGTGAAGGCCCTCCCCCCTTGTTGCGTCATTCCTGGCTTCCTTGGAGGTGGGAGTCAGAGGAAGGCCTCACATGCACATAAGCAGTCAATGCAAGTTGGCCAGATTTAGTGTTATATGGTTCGACCTTCTGATCCAGCTATTAATCTGACTGCTGCAAATTGCAGAAGCTGCAGCTTCTGGACGGTCATGGGCAGCCACACACAGTGTGCATTGCAGTGATCAAATCTCGAGATTACCAGAGCAGAGGTTACTAAAATCCCTTTATTTGAAAATAATTTTAGCCACGTGTACACAAAATAGTGTTGAGACTTAGGGGAGCCCTGATTCCAATTTAGTCTTCAGCACTAATTTAATAAAGCCCATAGGCAAAACATTGCCTTACAATTTCAGCCCTAGCCAACTCTGCAAAATGATTATATTAGCACTGAGGCACTTTACAAAGTTGTTATAAGGAATAATGAGATAATATTCTAAAGCTACATAATTACTGTGACTATTTCTTCAGGGTTCAGGAATCAAATGTCCAAATTTAAAATTTCATAAATGGGTGGCCACTTTATTATCATACAGCCTTCAGCAAATTATTTAGGATTATATAATCCTACTCCTAAATTTCCACATTCAGCACATTAAAAAAAAAAAAAGCTGTGGAGCCCAATAGGCCAAGTTGCATTGTGCTAAATGCAGAACATCAGTAGGCAGAGTGAGGAACCAGATACTGACGCATAGTTACCTGTTGTGAGTCAATCCAATGTAGTTCATAGTGTGTTAGACTTAAGCTGGAAATACCTGAGTTCAAATCCTCAGTCAGCCATGGAGCTCACAGGATGCACTTGAGCCAGCCTTTCAGTCCAACGCCATTCACGGGAGTGTTGTGAGCATAAAATAGGGTTGCCTGACCCGACTGGAAGAAGGAGGAAATGCAAATGTGCCAACTAAAAATACCTTGAGGTGAATCGAACACTTGCCCAGCAGGTTTTCCCCATCCCCTCAGCCCCCTTTTCTGGGCACACCCTGAATCTACTCTGCAAAGGTCTCTAACCCTTCAGAGCAGATCTGGTGGGATGTGGAAAGAGGGGCGATGGGGAGGAGGGAGACATCCGTTGCATCAACACCATGGACACAGCCCTTGCTTCAGGAAATAAGAAGTTTCCATTTATTACTGACCGTGTGGGGAATACAGATGTTTCTTTTGTGAAACTGTACAAAGAGAAGTGGGGAACAGTAGGCATCAAGGTAAGGATGTACAAGAAAAATCAGAGAGCAGGTGTGCTGGGAATGTACCATCAAAAGAACACTTGCAGTTGATTCAGACGTACAGGAAATAAGTCTGAATGATGTAGCATGTAGGTAGCCCCCAAAGGGACTACACAAGATGCTCAGGTTGTAGGGGAGGGGAATGAGTTTTCCATAGGTGCATGAGAGTAAAACCATAGGGTTGAATGGGTTAAGACAACATAACACAAAAAGAAGAATTTTTGGAACAGGCAAGCATTTGCATGCCTAAGATGTGCTCCCAAAGGAAGACCTTTCAGGACAGGCACATTAGCATATCTAAGGTGTACATGGGGAGCAAGGCTTCCAACATGGATCCACCTTAAGTCTAAATCTGTTCTTACAGTTTCAGGCTTTTAGCAGCCATATTAGGGCAGAGTTTTTGCTCAGTTTGTCTTGACAGATACAAAAAAAGGTGCATCGCTGACCAAAATGTGTGTTTGTGTTCCTTCCCCTCCACAAAGGAGATTGAGGTACACTATCAAACATGCACACTTGCAGATGTGCTTGGGAACAGCTGCCTCAGTAGGTCCAGTTTGTGTATATGAACCATCAAAGTGAATGTGTGTTTCTGGAAAAAATGGCCTGCTTCTCCAGAGGGATTGCGAGGATGCAGAACTCTGAAACATAACATATAAGGGATGGAATGTTAGCATCACTTATTGGCTCTTGGCTCCTTTGTGATAAGGCTCATGGAAAGAAGGCAGCAGGGCAGCTGGTGACAAATGTAATGCTCAGGAAAGTCCCACTGGAGGCCACAGGACAAAGAGGCTTTTATCCTCCCTGTAGAGGGAGGTGTATCACAGCCTTGGACTAATCATCTCAGCCCCTATCTTCCTGGTGCTGGCAGAAAAGGGCTGCTTTCCTAGGCTGTGCTAACAAGTCAGCCTTTGAGCTCTGCAGTCATTGTCTGGCTACAGGTTTGGGGCTTGCTTTGCTTCCTTGCTCCCCTTGCTAGACAGCACTTCACTCTGTCACAACATAACAGCCAGACTTACTCTTATCAGCTACACTAAGGACATGATGATGATGATGATGATGATGATGATGATGATGATGATTTTTGTTTTTTTTAAGAAATTCCCTGGAGTTAGAAAGTGAGGAGCTGGGTCAGTTTAGTTGGTGAACATCCTGCACCTGCATGGTGACTTGGTCCCCGGAAGGAGGTTCTGCACAGATACCTGCATTGTCTTGAAAGAAGCCTCAAGGCCACGTCAAGACCTGCTGTCCCTTCCCACCCAAAGCTGGGAAGACATCCACGCTGCCCAGTCAGTGCGGAATTGCACAAAAATGCAATATATATATATACACACACACACACACACACACACACACACACACACAAGCTATGGTGGTTTCTTGAGGGGAAAGATGCCATACTTAATACATGTATTATTATTCCTATTGTGCCATCATGGCACCTTAGTACTTGATATTAAGGCAGGCCCTGCTCAGATCTAAAAATTAACCCAGGGAAAGTAACAAGCAATTGGAAGGCAATAATGGGAGGCACAGTTATGATTTCAGCTCAGGTAAGGCAGAGTGAACTTGCCAGGTGCTTTGTGAAAAGCAAGGTTTATTCTAGCATGGGTATTGACCGGATCACCCAAAAAGGAGATCAGCAACAAGGAAGACTGTTAACAGAGGACAGAGGTTTGCCTAAAATGTGCATATGCCAATTTATAGGTATTCCTGTGCATTTAGGAACAGAGAAAACTCTGCCCAGGTTACCTGTGTACCTGCCTGCTCTCCAGATGCTCCTATTCATGGATATCTCCCTCCTTTTTGATGCCTCTTTTTCTTTTTAATCTGCCCTTGGACTGGGCAGCCCATCAAATTGAGGACTGAACTTTACAAAGTAGGACACATGGCCACCCATGCCCGTCCAGCCCTCGTTTTGATAAACCAGGAGCTTCTAATCCTTATTAACAAGCCATAGTAGCTCAAGGAACAAGCACAGATCCACATGCTGCTCCTGGCCCGGCTAGACAAAGGGCGTCAGGGGGAGGGGAGTGGAATGCATGGAATCCACAGCGAACAGATAACTAATTTCCTGCTTATTTCTGAGTAGGCCTAGAGACTGGGCCTTATTTGTGCGCCTGTCTTTGTGCAAATAAAGTCTAAGAACGTCAGTTCAGTGAGGCTCCTTCATTGGGGGGACCCTCCCAGAAGCACAGGCCTCCTCACTCTGATCAGGATTCCTGGGCCTTTAACAGCTGTCCAGCAGGTAGACTCTGAGCAAGAGAAGGTTTACTTTTCACCGTAGCTGCTTGATGCCACACCTGTTTAATTTTCTGGGCACCTCACCTTCCTCAGTCTCTGATGTATTTGCCAATTAAGCTTGCAGAAGTCCTGGCAAAAGCTGTTAAGGTTCCACACAGCATCTCTTCCTTCTCCAGGGGCAGCAAGTTTTTCTTATACTCATCTGGACAATTGGTGGGAATCATAGGGGGTGACCCACTTCAGAGATTTAGGTTGGCAAGACTGGTGAAGGATGGCATTTTATGAGGCCCAACCTGGTGAAACTTCCTTAAAATTTTTATTCCTGAAAGAAAGAATGCTTCATAATATACCACAGGTCACGAGGGCACCTTTCAACTTCATCATTGCTTTTAAATGTAGCAGAAACTTGTGTCATGATGACACAAGCCTCTTTATCCCATTGAGATGTAATGCTATTATTGCTGTAAGCTTAAAAATGGATTTCCTTCCCCCCTTGGATGACAATCAAAGAATGAAGATTTGATTCAGTTATCAAACTCTCTGATGAAATTTAAGAGAGTAAGTTTAGTTAGGGGATTCAGCATCTCAAATCAATAAAATGGGGCAAGGGAAGCTGTAGGGCAGCAAATGCTGAATGTTCCAAATCTGTCTCCAGAATCTGAAAGAACAAAACCTATTAGGGATTTCCAGAAGGATAGCAGTGTTTGTTGTTTTTGCTGCAACTCAGACTAAGATGCTTGTGATACCTTAAAAACGTACAAATATATTATGATCTAAGCTTTGGTGGACTAGAATCCTAGTATAACCCTCACTTGCCTGGTTCACATGATATGACAACCCCTGAGCAGGGGTTCGATATGCAATGGCCTCACCATGGGTTAAACAGCCCATGGTGGGCTGTCATGTCTTGCAATCCAACCCAATGATGTAGCAGAGCCAGGGCTTCTAGGGATACAGTGCCACCATTTTTGTTAGACTGGATGTTTATGCCAGCTGCGACTGTACTCAGTCTTCCCCATTCTTTCCAAGCTTAGCTGCATTGCTCATGGTCGGTGGTGGGAAATGAAATTTCCCAGCAAGTATATACTGTTCCTGTAATGCAAAGCAGTTTGGGATGCCTTGGCCTTAATCTTAAACGGGCAGTGAAGCCCCATTTGCTCCTGATCGTGGAGGAGATGACAGTGTTAGAACTGATGTGGTGATACCTCAGTTTTTGGCCTCTTTTTGGGGATGTGGTTTGGAGGACTGTCATGAGGAGCATGCTCAGATCTTACCACTGGATTAACTGAACAACAACAAAACAAAAAGTGCCAAATCGGAAGGCACAGAATGACTAGAAACAGGACTCTAGCCAGATTTATTTATTCCGAACCCTCTTGTGATAAGCAAATTCTTGCCTGTTTTCCCAGGCCAAAGCATCCATCCATCAAGATGTCCAGCAAGCGAGCCAAGGCAAAGACCACCAAGAAGCGCCCTCAGCGTGCCACCTCCAATGTCTTTGCCATGTTTGACCAGTCACAGATCCAGGAGTTCAAGGAAGCTTTTAATATGATAGACCAAAACCGTGATGGATTCATTGACAAGGAGGATCTGCACGACATGCTGGCATCTCTCGGTAAAAATCACAACAAACCTGATGTGCAGTGCGATTTCAACATAAGTCATCATAGCACAGCAGCTGAGAAGGCAACCTGGTGGCCAATTCCATAGGAAAGTTTGCAGAGAATGCTCATCTGCTAATTTGCACGTATAAGAGTGCATCATGCCAATGGGAGACTTTTATACAAATCTATTAAATAAATAAATTAGTATAGGTGCACACTGAAAAACAATCATAAACTAAAATGCAAGACTTCTCACCCTAGTGGGAAAAACTGTGACCAAGTCACCTGTGTGCCTGCTGTCAAGAGGCAGTGTGGTGTAGAGGTTAGAGTGTTGGCATGGGTCTCAGAAGATCCTGGGTTTAGTCCTCACTCAGCCAGGAAGCCTGCTGGATGGCTCTGGGCCAGAACCTTCCTCTCAGCTGAACTTGCCTCACAGGGTTGATGTGGGGCTAAAGTGGGGAGGAGGAGGAGGAGGATCATGTGGGTTCCTTCAAGAGGAAAAAAAGTGAGGCATAGACTTAATATTTATTCCTTTATTTAGGCTTTTATATCCCATTCTATACAATAAAACATAATAATAGTAAGGGCCGACACAGTGAGCGTGGCTGAAATCTTTTGCCTTGACATGCTGGTTTTCTGTTTGCAGGGAGATGTTTGTATGGGGAACATTCGAAAGTTAGTCCAAAGTGCTGAGGTTCCTTCTACCCCCTAATTTGCCTGCACTGAAAGAGCCAGCCTCAGCCTCAGGCACCAGAACCCTTTTACAAAATTAGGGATAGCAGCACTGGCCTAACTTAACGAGTAGTTTAAGTTTTACCCGAGATAATGTTATTGAAGCTCTGTGAAGTTTCAAAATGCGTTACTGATTTAGTTACTATTACATTTATGCCCCACCTTTCCTCTGAAGGGTTGAAGGCAACTTATATGGTGGGTTCTTTCTCCTTCTTTACAACAACCCTGCAAGGGTGTCAAGTGTTTGACCCAAGATCACACAGTGAGCTTAATCGTTGAGCGGTGATTTGAACAGGGGTCTCCTCAGTCAGACAAGCAACCGCTACACTTGTTTACTCTGCTGAGAATGACCCTCATCCAGATGTTTGGGACAGGCTGAAAGAATTTTAAGATCACACATCACCTCTTGGAATCACACTTCTGTGAAAGTCTGTGAATGAAGCAAAGAGGCAGCACCATATAGGTGGCTTCTGGAAACAAAAAAGTAGCCTCCCGAAGTACTGAACTATAAATGTCCCAAGCCAGCAATGGCACCAGAACGTTGCATGTTTAATCAGTGCCATGTGTAGAGATGACCACTAGAGGGCGCTTGGTTACATATTCGCGTAGATCAGCGGTCTTCAAGCTGGAGATATCTGAGGAACTATTCTTGGTGTAAAAAATCAGTGTGGGACCCATTCATAAATACATTTCATGTAATACATTTTATTTGAACAAAATGTTACTGTTATGTTGCAATAATGCATTTCATACAGTGTAAACAAACTATTTATAAATGCATTAAATAACCCACTTATTACTTAGTAACTAAATAATATTAAATTTAGTGAACACATACTAAATTTTAGTATAACATCACTACCAATATGAAAAGTTACATTTCATTGGATGTGCTGGCCTTTTTGCCACAAAGAAAATCATAATTTGGTATTATTGATGACAGTGGCAAGTGCATTTCTGGTTCTGCATGCATATTATTCTTGCATTAGGTCTCTGTGATCATTTTTCCTTGCAGGTTGAATCCACTCAAATGAAACCATTGTGGTTTAAAACAGATTAATCTGCTTTTAGGGGTACGTGTGAAGGCTTTGAATTAAACTGAATGAAGACTTCCCTTGCCATTGACTTCTCTTAAATGAAGTCAATGTCTAAATGAAACAAAGGAATGAAGACCTTACAATCTCACTGTAATCAAAGAAGTAAACCACTGGATGATTCTCAGGAAACCCTGCATGATTCTCACAGAGAGAACCAGGGAACACAGTTTGAATACTGCAAGTGTAGATAAAAGTTCAGACATTTTTCCTGGATTAATGCTGAGCCAACTGAGCAATTCAGAAGTAGTTCATCCAGAAATGGGAATCCTGCAGGCCAGGGATGGATGTGCACAAGAAGTTTGAACAATTTACGATTTCCTCTTATTTTTTTACAAAGTCATACAGACTTTCCAGTATTTTCTTCTCCTGATCGTATGCCTTGCATGCTGAATAATCATATTAAGGCACAATCCTGTGGAGGTTGAGTTAGGGCAGAAAATGGTCCGCTGCTCTTACCATGCCCCAGCAAGCCTGGCTGACTAAAGCATTCTGGGAATTGTAGGCCTTTTTGCTCTCTGAACCTGCAGGGATTGTGGGGATTGCACCCTTGAACTGCTAAATCATACCCCCAGGATATGGTTTTATAGGCAATTTATGAGGAAGCTTCTAGGAAACTGCCCTCACAAGAGCAAACAGAGCATTCATCTTTGTTTGCAAGGAAAAGTTCACAGGGGCTTTTTATTGCTCTAATTTAGCTGGGCTACAGTGTAGTATTTATAACTAAGGTTTCTATCACCAAATCCTGGTAAAAAGGAACAAACATCCTTCTAGGGTACAGAAATAAAGGGTTGGAATCTCATTGTGCTATAGTCAGAATGGCTGTGAATTTCAAAGAGAGAAGCACATAAATGGAAAGATTCTCGGGCATGTTAAGATTCAGACTAATGTCCATAAACATTCACAACAACTTGGGGATCAACTTTAGTATGACCTTCGGTTCCTCTCAGCATGCACATGTAGGCAAGCTAACGCCCTCCAGATTTCAGGACTACAACTCCTATGATTCTAGGACAAGGGTTCTGCTGACGAAGGCTGCTAAGAGTTGCCTTAATTTCTGGAGAATACCAGGTTGCCTATCCATGATCAGGGATAACCAGAGAAAGGATACGGAATGCGTTTGCAGATCCAGATAATCTTGGAAACATTGTAAAATATGGTTTGCGATCTGCTTCATATAGTTCAAGGCATAAATAATTCTCCTGCTAAGAGACAATGTCAAATAATCCACAGTTTGCATTTTTCCTTCTGCACCAAAATAAGTGACTGTGATAGGTTTATCTCTGGAGTAAATTAGTAAATAATAATAATAAATTAGGGCTTCCCGTTGAGCTCAGTGTAAAACAAATTTATACCACTTTCCTTGGAGTAAAACCCATGGAAGTCAATGAGAATCACACCTGAAGACATGCATATATGATTGCACCGTTAGACTGAATTTAACCTAATAGCTGTAAGAATACTTTGAAGAATGAGGTTGATAAACCAATAAAACAAGTGGGACCTGCAATGAAAAGTCGCAGGAAGGATGCTCCTAGGTCAGGGTCCCAGGTTTTTATGGTCCCTTCCAATTCTATAATTAACTTCTGCAAAGAATTAATATCTCAAGAGGATTCAGAAGTGTATTTAGAAGGCTAGGAGGATTCCTCTTGTAGGAAAAACATGCAGGTGCCCATATTTCCATGCACACAGCATACACAGGGAGAAAGCAGGTTGTGCCCTATTGTATAACCCTCCCAAATTTCCACTATTGTCTATAAGCAACCCGACCTGGTGGAAAGCGCTCTTGGTCTCCTTTGTACCTAGGACCATTCTCAACCTGAGTATTCCCCAGCTCATTGTAACAGGGAGCCAGGGCCAGCCCTTCCATTGGGCAGAGTGGAGCAGATGCCTCAGGCAGCAGTTACGGAGGTGGCAGCCTCTTAGCTGTTTGTTCTGAGCTTACCAGCTGTTCCCTTCTGTTGGAGGGAAAGCTGCACATGCCGCACACCCCTTCTACCCCACCTGAAATCAGCCTTCTGTAAAACTGGTGCACCTGGAAGTTTTGATTACTGCCGTGCATGTTGGCTGAAGCTGATAGGAGTTGGAGTTCAACACCTTTCAGCCAAAAAATGCCCATGTAGGTATTCTGAGGCACGCTGCACTCACTTTGGCTGCATGTTCTTAACAGAGCATCAAGAAAATGGATGGGACGGTTACATGGGATTCAACATTGCAAGGCTTGGCCAAGCAATCCTAGAAAAGGTTTCAGGGGAGAAAAAACCAAATGTCTCAAGCAAACCATGTGCTAGAGAAAAAAGGGGGAAGCACACACCCAAAACAGCACAAATACCATATTTCTGGGGAAGAAATATTAATAATACTCAGCAGGAATACAATCAGTTCCCCAACATATTTCTAAAGATTAAGCCTGCAGCTCTTTTTGTCACAGAAGACAAACATACCTTGGGATCCCCAGCCAATAAAACTGCTATTCAGTTGTACCTCCTCCTTTTGGGGTTATGATAAAGAGAATTGCAGGGCTTAAAAGTTCCTCCGGCTTTGTTGAGTGATGCCAGTTCCAGGATCTCAAATTTTATCTCCTACGTTCCAGAACAAGAAAGCAATACGTGGAGGTGCTCTGGCAGCCTTCTCCAACCTGCTGACACTCCAGATGTTTTGGACTTCAGCTCCCCTCCACCCGTCAATGGTCCAGAATTCTGAGAGCTGCAGTCTAAAACATCTGGAGGGCATCCAGCTGCGGAAGGCTCTACTAGAGTGAGATTTGGCTGAAGAGGTTCAGGCACTAAAACATGGAGTAATCTTTCTACTGGCTGGAACTTTCAGGGAAGAATCCCACTGATGAGTACTTGGAAGGCATGATGAGTGAAGCTCCTGGGCCCATCAACTTCACCATGTTCCTCACCATGTTTGGAGAGAAGCTAAATGGTACTGATCCAGAAGATGTCATCCGCAATGCTTTTGCCTGCTTTGATGAGGAGGCCACAGGTATGTCCCATGCATCTGACCTCCTTCTGGCAACTGGGGATTCTGCGTTCAGAGCCTAGAAAAATGCAGCTGACCAGGATTTTAATTTTTCTTTTTCCTTCTGTCCCTTTGTTCCCTCTATCATCCTTTTCAGTTGTATGCTGCTTGGGGCTGGGACCTTGGCCTGTAGTGGGCATTTTCTTTGGGTTTCTCTGCTAAACATCCAAAACAACTCATTTGCCTGCTGAGCTGCTGGACTGAATCAGACCTCAGTGGCCTTGTTCACTCTGGTGCCCTCCACCTGGCTGGGGATGGTAGGAGTTGTACTCCAATACAACTGACTGGCACCAAGTTTGGAAGTTTGGAGGTTTCTTGTGTTTTCTTTATGTTGGGTAAATTCTTCTTAAGTTAAATTGGTATTCAGTGGATTCCAGTCCAAGTAAAAAGCAAAGCAAAATGGGCCTCCTGAGTGGGGCATTGGACAAGATCCAAATGAGTCTTCGTTTCATAGAGAACACGCCAGCTTTGCTGACCACTTCACATTACCTGGTGTTAGGAGAGCCTCCACTAATTTAAATCCTTGCCTTTTATCTCCCCGCCCCCATCCTTTATCTTCTCTACAGGCTTCATTCATGAAGACCATCTGCGTGAGCTGCTCACCACCATGGGGGACAGGTTCACAGATGAAGAAGTTGATGAAATGTATCGAGAAGCCCCCATTGACAAGAAAGGCAACTTCAACTATGTGGAGTTCACTCGCATCCTGAAGCATGGTGCCAAAGACAAAGATGATTAAAACGGAGAGAGATCCTGACTTCTGGCTGCCCTGTGTCCCAGTCCCCTTGCTCCTCCTCGAAGTTTCCCTGGTGTCACAGTCAAGTGTTAGAATGGGCTACCCAGAGAGGGATATGCTATGGAACATTTCAACAGAACTAGCCCTATTCTAAATGAGGAATAAGCTAGTTGCATGCGCGCGCGCGCGCGCGCGCGCACACACACACACACACACACACACACACAGAGTGGTACTGATCCTATATTAAAATTAACTCCTTGCTTGTCATGGAGTCAGGTCCTTGTAACCTCCCCACTTTCAAGCAGCCTAAACTGCAAATGGAGGGAGGAGGAAAAAGCACTGCAGAAGCATCAGACTATCTGACCCATACATCTAATTCATACAGCCATTCAGCATTGGATCTAATATAATCCAAAGGGGCCAGTTGTGATTACCATTTCAAGACTTTTACTTAAACAACAGATGCCTCTATTGTTGCAACTGTTGATTGCATGGAGAGAGCACTTTTAAACTTGCAGAGTGACTTACAAGCTTTATTTATATCACCACCACAACCCTGTAAAGGCAAGCACTATTGTTCCCATGTTATAGATGGGAAAGTGAGACAAGCAAATGCTCTGGGACCACATTTTAAGGATGCTTCTGCACAGAGGCCCCTTAGTGCTAGCAATCAAATGATACTGTGTACCTATTCAATCTTTTCTTAACAGATTTTTTCCTAGCAAGGAAAAAAGATGGTAGTGGCAGTGATAAACATGAGATGGCTACAAGTGCCTGCCTTTGTGGCAGGCAATGGCAAAATAAGTCTCATCTAGAAGCATCCAGACTTTATAGAAAGGTGAGGTTTGATTTCGGATCTCGCCAGTCCAAAATACTCTCTACTTGCTGGACCATACTGGCTTTTAACCTCATTGTTTCCATTAAACCCCTTCAAACCTCACTGACACCAGTCTAGCCTTGGGATGGTGTCGCTTGCCTGGGACAGCCTACGCCATTTTGCACTCGTGATGCTTTCCACAGAAAGAGCACCTCTGCATCTGCGGATGGGCAGCACACATCTGAAACACTCCCTGCCCCCAGTGGAACAAAGACAACTTTGAAATCCCAAGTTTCCTCAATTTCATTCCAAATCCACGTTGCCTGCACACACAAGATGTGAGCTATACTGCTGACATGATTATTCCAGAAAGTGTGAAATCCTGTTCTGCACAAATTCTATTTCCTCCCCTAACCCAGCATTTAAAATATATTGCTGGCTACCTGAAAAGCCTAAGCAAGAAGAGCACAAAAGTGAAGATCTCACTGATCCGTCACATCTAATTCAGATTTTCCTAACCTGATGTCCTCCAGCTGTTGGCTTACAGTTGCCATCATCCGGACTAGCACAGCCACTGGCCATTCCGCTTGCTTCCTCCCTCGTCACTGGCCATGTTGGTTGGGTGGATGATGCGACTTGTAGTCCAACACGACTGCAGAGTGCCCCATTGATCTAATTTAACGGAAAAATCTTGTTTTAGAAGAGCTTGCTTTGATGATTTCATTCCCTTTATTTAAAAAGAAGTACACCTTTTGGAATATTTCAGATTAGCTTGTACAAGTTAGTAAAATAAAGGTGTAGCCTGTACAGTTGTTTGTTGATAATCAGACCAAAGTTGTTGTAACGTAAAGGAAAAGTATTGAATTGCATAAAAAGAATATAATACAAATGTATTACTTTCTGTATGTTTTTACTTCAACCTGCAGTCATATGTTGTACATGCACTCAGACACTTTAAAAATTTACTTTTTGAACCTCACAATAACCAAAGCTATCTGGGCAATATACAAACTAAAAACATAAAACTCAAAGTAAAAATAAAATAGGAGAGTTGCCATAAGGAAAGATTTTCCTGTGAGCCCTTGCACTGTCTTCATATTACACACCAAAACAATGCTTCACATCACAAAAAGTTAGATGCTAAAGACATTAGGTGGTTGCATGTAATGACACACTTATTCTAAATGACCAGCTAATTCAAGGAAAATGGAGCACTCCTGAATCTTGGTGAAGTTCACAGGGCTTACAGGGCAACACTATACAAAAGTAACAGCTGATAGATTTGCCCTTTGAATTATGTCTGTGTCTTTAGGACCAGAATAAAAGTCTACTATTTTCTGTGAAACACACAAAGCTTTCTCCCTCTGCCTCCAGCCAACTGATTTTAACAGGAGCCTGATTTCCCATTGAGCAAAAGTCACAGCACTCCAGACACTCATAACACTCTCATTGGAGTGGGAATCGCTGCTAAAATGCTTCCTGCTCATGATGGTATCCATAAGTTTTTATGAAGCATATAGCAGTCGAATTTTGTTACATTTCTCTTGCTTGTCCTAAAAGCTTAAATAATAAGAAAAAATATCACAAAACCATAGGTTTTTAGTGCCATGGAAGAGGAACCAACATGTCGCCCTTTCCACTTTCTCCACACTGCATAATTTTAAAAACCTCTGTCATGTCTACACTTACCTTTTTTTCTGCAAAGGTACAGTTGTAACTGTTCCTCATAGGGAAGCTGCTCCAGCCCCCTGGTCATTTTTGTTGCCCATCTCTGAACTTTTCCAAACTCTTGTTCAGGTAAGGCACATAATATTCTAAATGTGGTTGTCCCAAATATTTGTATGGGGGGGGTGGGTATGATCCTGGCAGTTCTATTTTGTATTCCATTCCTAATTATGCCCGACACAGAGTTTGCCTTTTTCATAGCAGCTGCACAGTGGGTTAACATTTTCATGGAGCTGTCCACCACCCCAAGATCCCTTGATCAGTAACAGCTAGCTCAGATCCCATCAGCCTATACTTAAAGTTAGGATTTCCCTCCCAACAACTTTACACTTGCTTACACTGAGCTGCATTTGCCATTTTGATGCCCATTCTCCCAGCTTGAAGTGGTCCTTCTAGAATTCCTCACAATACATTTTGAATTTAACTACCCTAAATAATTTGCTGTCATTCCTTGGTCACTTCACTGCTTACTCCTAGTTCCAGATCATTTCTGATTAGGCTGAAAAGTGCTGGTTCTAATGGGAATCCTGTGTGTCTCCACTGGTTATGTCCCTCGATTGGGAGAAATTGCCATTTATTCTCACCCTCTGTTGTATGTGCTGTAGCCAGTTAATGATCCATAAGAGGGCACCCCCTGCTTTTTATTCCATGACTGGTATGTTTTTTCATGAGCCTTTGGTGAAGTATTTTGTCGAAAGCCTTTCAGAAATCCAAACAAACAAGTCTACCTGTTCACCCTTGTCCACGTGCTTATTGACACCTTTAGGGAACTCTCAATAGGTTAGCGAGACAAGCCTTTCCCATGCGGTGGTCATGTTGATTCTTTTTCAGTAGGGCTTGTCCCCTGTGTGCTTACTTGATTCTATACTGAATAACACTTTCAAGTAATTTACATAGAACAGATGTTAAGCTAACTGGCCTTTAATGCCTTGGCTCCCCCTCTAGATCCCTTTAAAAAATGGTGTTACATTGATGATACTCTAATGATGGTTCCACAACCAACTGCTCTAGGGCACAATCATTTAGGACGTTAAGAAATTTAACCTCTCTGTTACAACTGGAACATTTAGACAGTCAATCTGTTATTATAGTACTGCCTTTTGGAGGTCTCCATGACATCTACAGTACTTCCTTGGAGGGCTCTGTGATGCCATTCCCCATCTCAAGATCATCTTGAGCATTTTGGTCTGAAGGACAATAGCACTTTTAACATGTGATTAAATTTGCTTTCAAGCCTGGGATTTTCACCTATAGTGTGAGCACACTTCTGTGATTAAATTTGCTTTCAAGCCTGGGATTTTCACCTATAGTGTGGAAGAGTCTTCACATGTTGATTATCAAGTCTGTTGGACTCAATGCCTTCTTTAATGTAGAATGCAACACCTTCAGGATGCCCTTCCTATACAGTTTATATCCAGAGATAACCCATTGGTTATCTCTGCTCCACCAAGTCGCTGTAATGTCCCCCATATCAAGCTTCTCCTTTAACACCAGGTACTCCAGCTCTCCTGTTTTGGCTCTGAGATTTCCAGCATTCGCATAGGAACACCTAAGAACAGCATCAGTCTCCAGACACGTGCAAATTTATGTTCTGGCACTTACGCCTCTCCAACTGGTTATTATGTCTCACGGTAACCTTGCGGCTTATTTCCTCCCCTCCTACATTTGGGCAATCAGAAACTTCCTCTCCTTTATCCACTAGGGATGATTTAACCCAAACAGGATGTTTCCCAGCTCCTGTAGACTTTCCCCCAGGGTTCACTTTAAAAGTTGCCTTGCCACCTTTTTTATGTTAAGCACCAGCAGTCTGGCTCCATTCTGATTCAGGCCTGACCTGTCCCAATTTTCCCCCAAACATGCATTGAAAGCATGGGGAAGTACACCCATTTATTACAGGGCTGATAGGGAAATGCTGTTTTCTAGAGTAACTACCACATTAAGGAATTGTACCAATGTGTGTAGTGCAGATGTGATGGAATCAGCACACAATTCATTCCCGTTGCCCAGAAGGCTAGCAATTTGCATTAGACAAGGCCTGGCTTAGGGGAGGGGTCTGGAATTGACAGCGAATAGTTGCCTGATTTTTCTCTCTGGTCCTACTCCTGTGCCTTTAGGAGTAGAGATGATGAAATTGAGAAAAGAAATGAAAGAGATGGATTTTTTCCCCTTCACTTTTTTGCCCTGCCTGTTTCACCTACTTAATCCTCTTCTGCTCTTGTTGTTTAAGTTGATGTTAAAGGCATAGGTGAAAGAAAACTCATTAGAAGCTAGAGGAGAAGAGGACAAATGCATCTTGAAAGGAGGGTTGAAAGAATGTAAGAAAGTGCTTTAACAAAGAGAGACAAGCAGTGGGAAACTTCCTGGTAAAAAGCAGAAAAATAGAAGAGAAAGGCGGGCATTTTCATAATCTTGTCAGTGCTCTGTGTCTTTAAAAGCTAAGCAATAGGCAAAACTCCAAGAGCAGCCCCTCCCTACCCAACTGCAAAAGATCTAGAGCAGAGGTGGACACAAGGTAGATCTAGATCTCCTGCTAGTTCTTTGGCTAATTTGCAAGAGATCAACAGAGGTTTGTGACTCCCAACTGTTTAACAGAAGCAAGAACAAGCGAAATACTTCCTTTCTGGGATAGAAAGATTTGCCGGGGTGGGGGACACACATCAGAAACAGATTTTTGTGTGACTGGGCTGCGAACTGATTTCCACTACACATGCTTGGTCTGAAAACATGCTCAGAAGTTACCTTGTACCTCTATTCCCTTCTGAAGTGATGATTTTACACTAGTTCCAGTGGGTGGAGCTGGGGTCCTGGCCAAAAAAAAAAAAAGCAACAACAACACAGTTGAGCCCAGTGAAAGAGAATGGAGGAATGCTTCCTTGAGTAAACATCCTAGTTCAATGATTTGTTCACCAAGAAGCAGTGGGCTTACCTGAAACTGCTGACTCATTGGCAAGAGATGGAGTGAAAAGTGTTTTGCCTGAGGGGAAAGATTTCAACCTGCCTATGTGCATATAAAACACAAAGGCTGTGTCCTTACTGTGTTGGGACTTGATTTTAATGGAATGATTCTCTACCTTGCCTACAATGCAGCACATTTACCCCAGCTGCTTCTAAGGGGGCCAAGCACCGTTTGGAGGGGGGTTCAATTGCTGCAGTCTGGAACAGATGTTGAACACAGCCATTACTTGAGGAAACGTGGTTTCCCCGGGTACTCCTAGTTTACAAGGTTGTGCAGCAACACATCTGGATTTAACAGCCCGGTACTGGCTCAGTTCACTGGCCATGGATGGATGATGAACTCCGAGATCCAAGCTTCAAACTAAGGCAAGTAACAACGGTAGTTATAGATTTGCGCTCTCTCTTTTGAACCTGAAAAGCTGAATTGCTGTGGGTGTCTAGGTAGTAAGTATGTGTGTATATGAAATCCCTTGCTCCATATATGTGTGCATACAAAGTTTATTTTGTGTTTGTGTTATATTTTAATCTAATCAATAGTAAATATCTTTACTATAATGATTGTGTTAAGCAACAGTACCCTGTTTCTTGAACTAGTGAGTATATGTGCAATCCCAAGAACATTCTAACTTGAATGTACTAGGAAAATTTGATAAGCTTTTTTACTTCTCAAATTTTATTTTATTCTCTTCAGTATTCCAATTATGGATGCTGTTGGATTTAGGAAAGGAAAAATAGTACAGAATTTGGCAAGTTGATAGCTAACATTATTACAGTAAAATCCACAGAAGACTTATTTTTGAAAACTTATTTGAGACTTGACATTTACATTATGAAACAGTCATTTTAAAAGTCTTCCTATTGCACAAGCCCCTATCATCTTCAAACCCTGGGAACAACCAAACCAGTTCTACGGTGGAGAAATATTGTTCTCACAACTGCAAATGAATAATCAATTTAGGGCAATTGCAGTGTGTGAATGAATTCATTTCTATCTGTTCTCTGTTAATGCATCTCAAATTTGAATAGCTAATTTGCTGAAGATAAGCTATATCAATTGAATCAGGATGCAAATGCACTTAAAGTCTTTATGCAAAGCTTAACAAAAGAAGCCATCTTCTGACCATTTGTTTTCAAGCTGGCTATAGGACTTCTTCACAATGAGGAATTTGAATATGATGGTTCAGACTGATTAAGTACAAATGGGTATATGCAG